GGTAAACACTCTTAGGTGCTGTGGGATTTAAATAAAACCAAAAATGTCTTCTTTCATTTCACATAAGCAAAAATCACCAATGGCAGTGAAATAAGCACCAACATAAAAAGTCAGATCTGGCTCTTTAACAGTGAGACATGGTTGCTAGTAAGGATGATGACTGTATATTTGGGATAAAAATGCAGAGGATCAGATGTTCTTTTCTGAACTTGTTCCCAAAAGATGTACAAATATTTAAGTGTTTGCATAAAGGAAATTAAAATCACACTTTTTACTTTAAATTTTAGATGAGTTTACTGTGTCGGTCTGCCAGTGTTTTTATTCAAAATAAGCACATTTAATAATAATAATAATCTGAAAAGATTTTAACTCTAGTGTACATACAGTTTGAACTCTGAAAATTCAAAATACGACTGAGATTAAATCTTGATCTGTAAACACACTGCTTTTCAGGCTTCTTAAATCTCAATGCTGATGGGAGTGAGCAGCTGCCTCAGGAAGATGGTGTGCTTCATGTTCTTGAGTGACTTGCGCTGGAGGATGGTTGTGTGAGTGGATGATTATGTGAGCGTTTGCATGAAATTCTTACATGTACCTGTTTGCTTTTCAGTTCTGAGGGAGGGGTAGTAAGTTTACACTACATGGGATTTCTTCCACAAGGATGGACCGAGATTTGAATGTCCTGGACTGCTGCCTTTCATAGTGTATGTCAGGCAAAGGTTCCTTCTGAGGAGAGTGTTTATGGTAATTCTCCAGTATTCCCAGGATCTTGCATACAGTCAAGATCTACTGACTGATGTTACTATTTTTTATGATTGAATCAACAGGAGCATTTGAAAAACAAATACCAGAATTATATGTTGGAAGTATCATAAAATGTAATTTCATGCAGTTGGTCCCAGTCAGATATGCATAGCTTTAGATTTGTTGTATCAAATCCATCTAGTAGTAAAGGACAGAGGCATTTATTACAGGCGTGTGTGAGTCATTCACTCTGACAAGTAACTCAGAAGTAAACCTGGGGATGTAATTGAAGGACTGAATTACAGTTATTAATTGGACACATTTAGGAGATCCTCAGATAAAAGTTGTGAAGTTATGTTATCTCTTTTTTGCTGATACTGTAACTGCAAGATTGATGTTCTAGGTATGTAAGATTGTGGTTTCATGATTTAGGACTTTAAAGAACCCTGCATTGTGATGGAGAAGCTGAAGAACAAGATTATTGCAGCTTCTCTGTTCTGGCAACTCTGAAATCAAAAGCAGCTGGTTTTGTTACTCTCTTTTTCGTTCTCTAAATAAGGATAAATTCAGGAAAGTACTAAGAACTGGCACATACACATGGCTGGGCTTAATTACTACAGTAGTCCCATCTAGTTAGACTGTCCAAGAAAGTTAACAAGACTGGTTGGAGGTATGACCACAGAATTGCGTAGAAATACATGAGCTGTATTTTATTGATGTCATTTCTATTATTTTTTTTTTATATAAAAAAATAAAGTAAGGAGCCTCTAATCTGCTTGGAGTAAATGGGAAAGAGTTGATACCAATAGTTAGGAGAAGCACGGCATGCAGTCACACAGCATATAAATGGAGTGTGAAATAAAGGACTTGGGACTAACATTTGTCTTTCTATAGACAGGGTTTCACCCTAACATTTATCCCGCTAACTTTCTCTCTCTATGACTGATAAATATGGTGTGTAAGGTACTTATTTAATTAAGGCTTAGCCTAGAGTAGTAGACAATAAGGTAGGAAGATCCCTTTGAGAAGTTTGTTCATTTTGCTTATGCATGTCCCCTGTAACAGCATTTACAAAACTGGTTCCAGTGTATCACTTTTTCACTAAAAACTCCTCTGGCATAACAATAGTTCTTGTTTCTTGCAGAACTGAAATGGATCTTTGCACATGAAAGCCTTAAGGCAATTTGGCCAAGTAGTTGACTCTTATGTTTTCCTCCCACAGAGAAAATAGCCTAAAACTCTCACAGCCCAGTCAAGAAAATATGTTGTATATGGTAATTCTCAACTGTTTTAAGTGAATGTAGCTCTGCTGAAGTCTGTGTTGCTGTGCCAGTTTGATCCAGCTCAGTATCTGACCAAAACATATTGCAGAATGACAGATAAAATCAAATTCTGTCTTTCCCCAGGTCTAGCCAGCTTTTCAGTAATGCTTCGTCAGTTCAGTTCTCTTTCCACCCAGTACTTTTTTACACCAAAATAGATTAATGTGCAAATCTGCACTTCATTAGCTGATCTCCCTCCCATGTGTATCTCAGGCTTGTTACGCAGCACTGTCTAGCTGCATCTTATTTTTCAGCCTTTGCCATAAATGAATGGACAGTGTTGAACTACTTACTTATAAAGTATAGAAAGTCTTTATTTTATTCCAGTTCATGTAGGTAAGTATCTGATTGCGTATACGTTTTCAATGCACATTTGTGCATTAAAATTGAATTTGAAATTCAAGGGTGAGCTTGGGCCAGTGCAACTTGGCTATTAACCTTACTGAAGCTCAGGCTTTTCCTATGGAGAGCAGAAGCTGAATTAGTAAACAACAGGTACAATTTGAATTGTAATGTTATTCTCCCTTGTAAGTTTGGGTTTTACTCTCAATGCCAATATGATGCTTGAGCTACTTACTACAGAACATGTACTTCAGTGCAGAAATTTTCTTTGTGCTGTTGGGTATTAAAACATAATCACAGGCACTGACTCCAGAGCCATGTTCCTAGTACTGATCCATGGCTGCATCTAATAATGATCCTGACTACTTCACCCATTTTATTTAAAGACCTGCCTCGGGGCATTGGCACATCTGTAGCAGATGCATTGCATGCATTGCATAATAGAGATAAAAAGAAATGGCACTTCCTATAGTTTTAATCTGAATGCTTCAAGTGTGATAAGTTATTTTGTTGTAATATTTGCACACAGAAAATTGTAAGGCAGTCTCATCAATTGCACATACTTACAATAAAACATATCAGAAATGAGTTCAAATATGTTAAGAAATATGCATAAATTTAGCAATAAGAATATTTCATTTGGAATGATATATTTACAAAGCAATAGATTCTTCTATTAATAAAATGTACCACATTGACTATAATTTATATCTTACAATATCCTAATCCTAACAACAAATTAAAGTTTATAAAGCTGTATGACACAGTTCATAAAAATTCAACCTAATAACTTTAGTCTGTTGAGAGCTACGTAATGATGGCACATCTGTGAGTTGCGGAAAGTCATCTCTTTTCTTAGATAAACTTCTTTATTCTGACAGAGGAGTCAGCTGGGTGCTATTCTAATGGTCATCTACAGTAGTCAGATGTAGAATGTTTTCTTTAGATGCAGAAATGTTTCCTTGGTAATGCCAAAAAAACACAACCCCTCCCAAAAAAAAAAAAAAACAAACAAAAAAAACCCCCAAACCCCCCCAAAAACTTTTAAGCTTTTGTTTCATGCATTTATCTGCATCTAAAAGCCTTTAAGAATATGACCATGTAGTTAGCATTTGTTGGGTTTTGCTAAGAAAGTTACTTGAGTAACTTACATACAATATTACATAAGTGATATTTATATCAGTGCTAAAACTAGTTATAGTCATGTAGCTTCCAGTTTTCAGTACACTTGTCAAACATATCTAAGAGGGAGTGATTTCATTTCTTTAACTGCATCAGTCTGGTTAAAGCAGCAGGGTTTGTAAGTGTGAAGTGGCCCTCAGAGTTTGCAGGTCTGCTGTGTAGTGAAAACTTCCAATAATGAAGTCAACGAGAGTCGAAGTTTCTGCATACATCTTTCCAGTTAAAGTAAAAAAACAACCAACAACCAAACCAACCAAACAAAAAAAAAAAACCCACCAGGTATAACAAACAAAATCATCCACATCAATGCTAGAATTTTGTGTGTACCATAGTTTTGGCATCTGTTGAAGTGAGTATGTATGAAGCATATATGACAACCTTAGAACTGATATAAGTAGAATATATAAATCCAGGAATTTCAATACAACCCCACCCACTACATTTATGCACTTGTTTTGCACAGTAAGATGCATAACTGTGTGTGCATATATGTATATGAAGTACTGTGGTAAGTGTACAATGTGCCTGTTAAATGTCATGCTCATGGGTGGAGAGGAATCAAAATCTTGAGATTTTATGGAGTATTTTGTAAGTTGAGGACTTCTTCACAGCAACTAATGCAATAACACTAAGGCAGTTGAACAGGGCGAGTACCAGTCTATATGTTAGGATTTCAATACAGTGAGGTTTCACGGAAAGTGTTATTATATTCTGCAGCTGTTTTGCATTTGTTTCTTCCTGAGAGGCACTTAGCTCCTTTTCAAAGCGTTAACAGAGTACCGGCTCTTCACTTCAGCAGCAGCTTTCATAGCATCTTCCTCTGCCAACTAGAGTCCTACTGCAGAGCAAACATCTTCTTGGATATGAGAGGGAAAGTACTTATATCTGAACTTAAGAAATCATTTTTTGAGTAAATAAATCTCATATTTGTTAGTTCTGCTCATTATTTGTAAGTGTTCTTTAGAAAATGGACTTTTATGTAGCCATTATGTTTTGCATGACTGTGCCTTACTCTTACACCTCCTGAGAAGCACGGAAACATGGCAGTGAGGTTAGAGAACTGTGTTTGTGATGAAGGAAAAAAACATACTAGATTTCAGGCTTCTTGTTTTTCCCTAGCAGACAAATAGAAATAATTGTAAAAATTTCCATTTCTGGTGATGCCACAAGTAAATAAGCTTTAGGTCATGAAGGTTTGGTTTGGTTTGTTTTAACAAGCTGGGGGTCTTTTGGAGGTTTGGGTTTGTTTTTTTTCTCCCTGTTCATATGGCAGTTGCTCCTACGGTAGTTGGTTTCCCTGTCTTGGGACTTGAGCTGATGAAATAATGAAAATTGACAATAGATATTTGGGGGGGGGGAAATCATGGGTTTAGGGTAAATAATTTATTATGCTTCTTCTTTTTCTTGCAGAACGGTTTACACAGTACAGCCCTAAAAACCTTAGGCAAGCATGGAATAAGTAAGTTGTTTTTTCTTTCATTATTATTTTGACTCTTCAAAAATATGATTCATACCAAGCTGAAGTTATCACAGTTGACTTAAAATGTCTTTATCTTTTTTAATTACAGTACAGATAAGGAATTACTGAAGTATTATTACTTCCTGTTTCTGCCAGCTTTGACTATTTTTGAATTGCCAATTACTTGTAAATATTGAGAAACTGTATAGTGTCATATTTTCATCTTGGAGATGTCAGCTGACAAGTGTATTGAGCTCACTGAGAGATGCAGTGTTACTTTACTACCTTGGGCCATCAGTTTTGAATTTTGTTTTCCCTATTCACCTGTAACAATAAAGAGACCTTTAAATAATACGTTTCTAATCAGTTTTTGAGTGTTGTTTCCACATAATCAAGCCCTGTTGCCAGGTCCATCTGGTCATTGCTGTGAGCTGATAACCATACCAGTTGTATACTAGTTATATTTTAATTATCACAACTGAAAAAAATCAATGTGCCTTTTTCCATTGTTTTTTTCCTTTAATGTTTCCTGAGTTTTTACATCAGATGGAAACTGATAGAAGGTATTGTGCTCAAAAGCCAGAAAGGTCGCCTAATAAACAAGGAATGCCTAATAAATCATCTCTGTAAAGTTTATTAGAAGATTTCTCAGCACATGAAGAATCTTTGTAGATAGGATATTTGAGCAGCTCTGCATTAAATGATTAATATCTCTTATAGTTTGAAGAAAGCATACCCAGTTGCTTTCTTCAAAATATGTGAGTTGGATGTGCATGGTAGCAGCTATGTCAACAACTTGTCCTGCTAGAAAAGCTGTCAAGAGTTTTTCACCACTCTCTTTTCACTGAAATATTTTGCAATCAGGCTAAGCCTTTGATGCACCAGAATTGCTGTTTTCTTTCCGATACTCATTCTGAATTTTATTGTTGGTAGCAACTGGCTGTCTGGTTGGTAGTTCTCCAGGCAGTTCAACAGACAGCAGGAGTCTGAAGTATCTCCTCCTCCAAGTTCACCACTGAACTTGAAAATATTAAATGTTTTGGTAAAGGAATGTGTTTATTATAAGGAAAAAAAGTTACTAATAGTGTAGAAGTCTAAATCTTTTTTCAGTGTCCTAGTTTATTAGTAATGGAGTGTGTCTACAGCTGTAAAATTCTTAGCATGGTCACTTGCCTAAAATGTGATGAGGTTTGTATTTACTTTGCTATTCTATTATTTTTTCTCCATTTGCTCCTTCCCAAACCAATTTGGTCCAGTGTTTTGGACTGAAGCACAAAGGCATTTTTCATTTTAAAACAAACAAACCAACCTAACAACTTCTGAAATTGTGGTTAACTGAGGGAGAAGTCTCTTAATATAATACGACCATAGCTAAAATTAAGTGTTAGTTGTTGGATGTGATACCAAACATGTTCGTTCTTTGAGTCAGAACCTGTATGTCTGCAGAGCCAGGCGTCCTTCATAGGTATTCTTCATGACTCTGTAGCTCGCTCTGCATAACTGCTGGATCCTCCCAAGTAACTTTCTGATTCCTCCAATTGGACACATAAAGCTGGCACTGAAGACAGTGCAGGCCATCACAAAGGTTAAGCGTCATGTACCTGAATTGATTGAATTTCAACACTGGAAAGGAAAGAAAGTTTCTGGCTTTTTTTATTCAGACTGGGAGGCTAATTTGGTGTCTTTTATGGAAGAGTCCATCTCCAGTTTACTTTAGAGGGATGAACAGGAAGATCAATGTCACTTATAGTGGCTTCTGTGAGTTTTGCCAGTTCTTGTGATCCTTGCAGACATCTTGCAATGTTTGACTCTACTTCAGTCTTTCTGCTTGGAATAATATGATTCCCTGAAAGTCATAGCTTTCATTTTTAAAAGTCAGTCACTAGAATTTTCTGTATTCTGTCCTTGAACAATGAACAAACTTGCAAAATCATTTTTTCTTTGAAAGTAGTTAATGAAATCCAAAAGCTTGGAAGAAGCAATTATGTTGCAACATAGGCAATTAGGTCTGGATTGGGAAAGAGGGACAAGGAAACTAATATGGATGTGAGTGTGTTTGCTTGGGGGCATATATTTCCGTAAGTAATGTGAATCGATTCTGACACTCTGTTCCACCCATTCTGCAGGCTTGGACTGAATGTTTCACTGTATTTTAACAGCAGTTAGACCCAGCACTATCTCCTGTACATGAATAAGTACAATAATAATTTGAATTTTAAAAGTTGCTTTCATTTATTTCTTTCAAGGACATTGCATGAAAGTTTTTTCATAAAATAAACAAAGAAAAAACCAAAAAAGAAACGAACACCCCCCCCAACAAAAATTAACACCGCCCAAAACAAAGCAAAAAAAAAACCCAACAAAACCAAAACCCAATTTGCTTAGAACAAACCCTCAGTCTCTGAGATTTCATAATTGACACAAATTGTGATCACATCACAGGCTGAGTCAAATAAGTCCTGAGCTTTTTAACTTATAGGAAACCTCTTCAAAAATATTTAGATTTTATGCTCCATGCATAAAGAAGGATTTACAATTTCTCAGCATAAATGGATTCAAAGAGTGAAAGCAATGACAATACACAGAGTTCATTGCTTCATATTGGAGTTCTACTACAATAGGAAATATTCAGTGCCTCAAAATTATGTATCACATTCAAAATGTAAAGGATTTTCTCTTTTTCTAGTGTAAATCTTTATTTGTGTGCTGTATTAGAGCGCTGTTGCTTGCACAGCTGTAGTTAAGGATATATAAACATTTCTGTTACAGACATCATATTCCCAAGGGTTTATAATTCAGCTATAAAACTTAATACATGGACAGAGTGATTCATTCAAGATTTTTTCTTTCTTTGTTAGCATGTTTCAAAAAGCAGTAATCTCTGATCCTAAAAGAAAATAAAAAATATATCCTTTTAAACTTCCCAATTTAATTTGTTGAAGACTGTTGATGTCACAAAAATGTCCCATTTGGAACAGAATTGTTTTAATTGTAGTTAGGATAAATGTGAGACCTAAGACATAAAGCCTTTTGGTTTTACATATGTATTGGTTTTGTTGCAGTTACTTCCTCTTGACATAGTACCTTTGAAAGATACAGCTTAAAAACCAGTGTTTGTGGTCTTGGAAAGATTTATGTGTATGCTTAAGCTCCTCTGACATGAAGCCTTGTTAATGCATTCTGTAAGGGGGAATATTGAGATACAAAAAAAACTGCGGAATTTTTCACACAGAAACTGCCATAGAAACTTTAAAACAGAGCACAACATTGAACTTTGTGCTCCCAAACTGGAAGAGAACACCTTTAATTTTATAAACACGATAAAGCTTTCACTATCTACTGTTCCATCTTTCAGGCACAGTCTGGCCCTTTATCTTGTTCATATATATGTTTTGAGGTCCTGGCATGGAAGAGTGAGAATATGGGTTTAGAAGTCTTCAAAGAGACTCAGTTTATGTAAGGAGAGGTTGGTAAGAAGGGAGAATAACACTTCCAACATCTACAGAGCCAGCTTCGTGTCTGTCAGGGCAGAAGAACAGAGGCAAAAACCTGCAACACCAAACCTCCCCAAAAGCCACAGATGGTATATTGGAGGCAAAATAATTGCACCTGATTGACTACACTAGCTTCCACAAGATGTGAATTTTAAAGGCAGAGCCAGACAATGGAACAATGATGGACACAAGCCAGTGGCTCTTTAATTCCTAGTCTAACTGGAAAATAGCTAAAAAGTGTGGAATGTAACAGCAATGACAAAGTGAAACCCAGAAGGCTCATTATGTAGTAAGTCAGATCCCTAAAATTTTTAAAATAGAATTGGTCACAATAATAGAGACTTACTTTTGGGAGGTGTACTTTAGGGAAATAATGTATGTACCACTTCTAGAGTATTAAGTTCTTTGGAGACTTTAACCCTGGATTTCTTCACTGGTTGTCAAACTACCTAAAGATTATAAAGAGAATATTTGCTAGATAAGAAGTGGTTTATAAATTTTGCAAAAATGCTTATAATGCTAGGAAACAAAAATTGCATTGATATTTGCTTCTATCTAGTGTGAAGCTTCCCCTACGTTGCATGACCTAACATATTGTGGAATGCAATTATAAAATACTGGTCTAAAAAGAATTAAGATGTGGTAATCTGATCTTCCTATAGAATCCATAATGAATTATATTTTAACCTTTTTTCCTGAACTTTTCTGTTCAATTATCTCTACACAATAAAAACCAAGAACAGCTCTGCCTTCAGAATGCAATGCAACCGCTTTCAATTTGTAAAAGCTTCTCCACAATAATAAACCCATACAGAAGAATAACAAAAGAGAACTAATTATCCTTGTGTATATTTGGTAGGATATAAAAAGCTTTTTCAGATCCTTCAGTCATAATGGGTTGTATTGTGAGAAATTAGGTTGGAAAGAAAAGGTGCTGTTGAAAACAAATTCTGCTCTGCATAAATAGAACTACTGCTTCGTAATTCCCCAACATGGCAGTATTTATTATATAAATAACACTTTATTCTCACAGCCAGTCCCACTGCTGGGGATTTCTTCCTTTAACAAGATAGCCTCTGTACTTGAGAACTCCCCTCCTGAGGCCAGGGTGTTCAAAAGTTGCATTCCAGGATGGACTGGCCTATTTTGGGACTGTTATTCAGTGAAAACTTCCTGAAGAAAGCAATTTGAGTGAACAGAGACAAGTCCATATATTTGGGGTCTGTATTTCATTTCAAGAATAACACAAACTATGGAACTGTTCAGAGCTGAGCCTTGGGAAGGATTTTTGGTCTGGGGTTCTGTTGTCTGGGGCTTTTTTTTGAGAAAAATCTTTGCCTTCATGGGGTTTTGACTAAAGACAAAACTCTTTCCTAATTGTCACTTTTATCCCCTTCACCTCCTGTCTCTTCACCAGAGTTCCTCATTGAAATGTAGTCTGTAGCGCCACAGAAAGAATATTCAAGCTCTCAAGCACAGCAGGAACAAAAAGCTTTAGTGTTGTCA